ACAATGACTGGTGATTAATTCCTAGAAGTCTCTCAAATTAGATTGCTTTGATATATACATAGTACACTCATGAGTACAGTATGCAATGGTACATTAGATAAGCATGTTCACTTCACACCAGGAAGGTTGTGAGTGATTTGATTCCTGTAGTCGACTGTTAATCAGCAGTACAAATCAGAGTCGTACGGTCCATCCTGCCTAAACACACAGTACACAATTGGTTTGAGAGATTGGGTCACGCATGCAATTAGGGGTAAACCATTTAAAGTCCTGGGGCTGTGGTCGGAAGAATTGTTGAAAAAAAAATAGCAAGCTGGACACCGAGAGAAAAAAATGCATGCAGTGTGTGGCAGGAAATAAGTGTTGATCCATTCAATAAATCTAAAAATGTTAATGGTTAAGACATCACAAAAATATGTGGGAAAATACACTGGATTCCTGTGATATTGCTTGCAGCTTTGATGCACTTTTTAAACATAGTGTCAGGTGGCAAAAAAGAAAAATTAATAATTTTAAGTCCATTTAAGCGTGACCGCGAAATCTAACGTGGCCGCGAAGGAATATCAAAAAAGTCAGGATTTCTTTCGTAGTCACGCTAAAAAGGCTAAATTTACAAGTAATTACATGTTTGGTAAAACAAAAAAAGAAGTCCCGACTTTGCCAGTCTATGTCAGGTAGAGAGTTGCACATTGACCCAAAGTCAACATTTGTTCTAACAGTATCACAGAATTCTGATTCAATCATCAACATTGGAATGGTTCTTATCAACAATAATTTCTAATATGATTCCCCAAAAGCAGGACTTGTCTGATTCGCTATATTCAACCTGCACACCTAACAGTCAGACTATTCAGAGAGCATCTTTTTTTGTTGATAGGTTTTTTCGATATTTGCCTTGTATATACCGTACTAGTATGCTTTGACTCAACTGTGAAGAGGTGAAAAATCGTGAAAATGTCGAAGAACTTTTCAAGGTTCTGTTTGAAGTCAACATAGATATAATCCATCGACGTGAATGTCAAAAGATGGCAGACAGGTTCTAATTATAAAGATAATCTGAAGTTACACAGAAACACATTGTGCTTGTAAGAGGGGGGGGTATATACCGGTGGACAAAGTATTTCACTGTCACTGTGTGAGCATGATTATAGCCTGTCTTGAAAATGAGTTATTCCAACTGCGACCCCTGAGAACTCAACCTTGAAATTGAGTTAACAACGAGATAGCCATCAAAATCGCTGGTTGAAAGCCAATATCTGCTCCAGTTATGATGGTTATGCATTTTAATAAGGCCAGGTGACCATATATGTTAATCAGATCATGAGCCCAATGTCTTCAATAAAGCACTGGTTGAATGTCTATATCTGCAAAAATTATGTGACAATTATATCTGAAGTACGGATTGATTCAAGCAATTGATTATCTGTTTGAGCACGATTGCATCATCTTCACTTGTTGTGAGAAGCATTCTACACCCTCCTGCACGGCACACTTCTTTAGCTTATCAAGAATAGCTTTTTTTATTTCTGTTTAATTTGCAAAAATTACGGAAATCATAAACTTGTGTGATGCATTCCGTCGTATATTCCCCATAGTGAGAATCATCATCAAAGTAGTCAGACACATGTGTTGCTTCGGGTGACAAATCTATAAATTGGGAATTTAATGAATCGGTGCGTCTTGCAAGCTGTGTGAACCGATATTATTGAAATTAGGATCACGGTAGTACTTTCAAACCATCAAAGCAATCTGACTCCAAACATTGAAATAATTTTTTTTATTTCAGTAATGTTCGTACATGGAGGAGGTTTCTGTAAAATTGGTTAGCATATATATATATATATATATAAATGACAATAAATTGTAATAATCGAAGAAACTCAGAATGTGTCTTTTGAGTCATTAATGCATAATCTCCCTGAAATTTCAATGGTTGAGTACAATGGTTGTAGAAACCTAGAAAGAGAATTCCAGTTGAAAAATACATGTAATAAACCTATTAATAAAAAAGAGACTAAATAAACCAGTTTTATGTACATAATTCGTTCAGTTGAATATTTCCCCGGGAGAAAAGTATAATCTTCGAACACATGGCCACAGCTGATTTGGCACAAGGATTTGACAGCAGGGCATCCTCCATGTCGGATATATCGAGCCCCAAAACACAGAAATACCAGGTATGGGTCTATAGCTCTACTTGTTTTTATTCCCGTCATTTGTGGCAATTTTCTGCCCCTTTTTCGTGATTTTTCGATAAGTGATGAAAAGTCCCAAATCCCACAGAAAAAAGGCTACAGATCACGAGATGGGGATAAGTAGGGTTATGGACCCTAAGCTAAATTGTCCAGCATTGCATGCCCTTGGTTGAAAATGTAACAACGTAGAAAAATAGCAACGAGTTGCTACGTGATAATGACAACAAAGAAAATAACAACAAAAACGGCAAATTGCGCACATACGGACAATTCAAAAATCAAGCTTCTTTTGAAAGTTGCGTAGAATTAGCAATGAATACAAATTACAGATCGGCCCCGGCCAAATTTAGAATTAGTATGCGCACCCTTGATGCTTTTATTATATTTAAGTCCAAGTCCAATTGGAGAATACAATGTCAATAAAGATTACAAAAAAAAACAACAACATGTTTTTGGTCAAATTATTCACCCAAAATTGGGCAGTGAGGCGATTTTTTCAATTTGTCATCAGAGGCCACTATAGCGGCGAGATGAATGAAAAAATATCGGCCCGCACACGCTGTCCAATAACGTACAGTATTTATATAAATCGCGCCACCTGGCGGTGAAACGCTTCTGTCACGTATTTAGGTGGACCGGATGCTTTGACCTCTTTTCACAGCGTCGATATCTTTTCGATCATCAATAAAAAGATACACATATAATTATTGTAAATGACGAACGTCTTCACATCCAATTAGAGCTGTCTACGTAATGTTATTACTACAGACGCAGCTAGTGACAAGAGGGCGTATTTTTTTAGAAACGATGAAAACGGTGGTCGAAACGGTGCATTCAAGTTCAACGTGTTTAGCTGAATCGTTCGGGAAGCTTGTCTATAAGAACTAAAGTCATCAACATTTATATATTTTCTGGATTCTTGTGATGACGTCATATCAACGCATTATATACTGTGACAGAATCGCAATACCATGCGGAGTAACCTAGCAACTAGAAATTCGTTTATTTTTAACAAAATGTGTAAACAAAATCACACAAAGCTTATTATTAATAAATCAGATATTCCCATATTTTCTCTATTATGCTGCCCATTACGTGATCCAATGCGATCTGTAAAACAAAATAAAATAAAACAAAAATAAAGATGATATAGAAAGTTCAACGCGTTTATATAATAATTTGTGATGTCTTTGTCCAGTTGTCGACTACTTCCATCTCTGTCACAGGAGAAGACTCTCGCACCGAAAACACCATCAATCATTACTTTAGAATTGTCACACAGCAGATACAGTTGGTCCACAGGCGCATACGACCCTCTAACAAAAACAAAACTGTCTGTACGGGACTTTACTTCATCCTTACAACCACACTCCTAACCATCAAGTCCTTCGACATTAAACGTCGACGAAGAGTAGCACAATTTTTTTTTTTGTAATCTTTATCTCATTTATCATCTTTTCTACATCAGTCCTACCCCCCCCCCCCCAGCCGCTTCTAAAGTGTTGACGCCCACCTTTTCATTTGCCACTACACCCCCTAAGCTATATTCGCTTTCTTAATTCAGATTAAGTCTATGTTGACTCCCAACAGAACATTGTGAAGTTCTGAGCATGTACCTTGACGGCAATAAACATATATCGGAATCTATCTCGTTAATTCCTTAGTTAAATTGTTTAATTTAGTTTTATGTAGTTCGTCTTCACAGATATTTGGAGTTTAAGTACATGTACCATAATACATATTTGTAAGAAAGGGGAGAAATTGTACCGCAAGAATTACAAGGGAATATCAGGGCCAAGGTAGCACTGGAAGTCTTTTGTTACACCATAAATACACGTATATACTATTTCATATAGAACAAAAAATACTCGAAAGTATTCAGGCAGGATTCAGAAGAAGAAAAAAAACTTAGAACAACAGATCAAATATTTGTATTAAAAACATTGATTCAGAAATATATCAAGAACAAACAAAAAATATGTGTATGTTTCGTAGATTTTGTCAAGGCGTTTGAAGGCCTACAAAAAGAACATTAATTTTAATGGGAAGGTATTTAAAATTATTAGAAACTTACAAACAACCACTAAATCTAGTATTAACATAAATGATTAAATTACCAAGCTATTTTATTAGAAGAGGAGTTAAACAAAACAACTGAAAAAAAAAATATTAAATTTTATAAACAAATTTTGCAAGTGAATAAAAAGGCCTGTAACATCTAGAGCAGAGTTTCGTCAATGTCCACTTTTTATCTGTGCAAAAAACAGGCCACTGATATAATCAAAGTTTCATCAAAGACAGTAAACATCTATTTACATATTTACTTTCAAATAAAGATACAAACATTATTTTAATTTAGCTGATTATATATGTACAACATAGAGGTTCTCGAATTAATAATATTCATTTATTTACGTAAATTCTGTCACATCATAAATTATCACTTTTTGCCATTACCCAGTGTAAAATTATTCACAAGGAGGCAATAAAGTTATTATTATTATATCATATCCATCTTCTTCTCATCGACTATGTCATTGTCCATTTCAATCGTCTTCTGAACATCCAAGTTGCCTCTTCGCTTACAGTAAAAATAATACAATGCTGCAGTGGCACCAACCGCCAAAGTAGTAAAAAGTACGCAGATTGTTTTCCCCATGGTGTTAAGATACGTCTTGTTAGTTACTACGATTAAAGTACTAGGGTTGCTTCTGTAATTACCGGTATATAAACTGAAAGAATGAAGAAATTAAAGCAATGAAAGACAAACTACAACAAAGTCGACAATTTCCAGTTTTGGGTCCGATTTAACAATAATTACACCAAGTTTTTATGCACACTTGACATATGGCCAATTTCGAGGACACATGTTTCGAGATGTGCCAGCGTGCAGGAAACATGTGAATAACTTGAGAATACCTACTATCAGAATGACGAATGTACAATTCAAACTCAAAACGTTCACAATCAAATTGATTTCAATGTATTGTATATATTGTCGATTGCAATATTCATGGAAATCGTTTTAAAATACACGATTCTGTCACACAAGTGCTAAATTAATACAATTAATACAAAAAACGAAAATTAGAAGTATTTGTCTACTTTCTCCCTGATCTACGCTATTTTGCATACCACTCAGTAAAACAATTTAAGAGAATTAATTAGTAGCCTGCCAATAACGGGTAATTTGAGTAGAGTCTATATTTGAGCCCATATAGGTGTATCAGAGACAAATATTAACACTTACTCACCAGTTGTAGATGTTCACAAATCTGACAAATAAACGAGAGATTCCACGTTGCTACAACATAGACGCGTTCTGACGTTCGAACGTGTACAATGTGTACGCGCGCGCGTCCCGTTTGTTCGCCATCTCCCCCGCGTTCTTCTCATCTCATCGCGATTATCTGTGGTACTCACTGATGCCCGCGCGTTTACCGTATCAATGAGAACAAACAACAGCTGGAAATGCCAACTTTTACCATGATTCATTCCAATATATTTAATGGGCAATTGTCCATTGAGGTTGCAAGTGTCATTTAGGAAATCTTTAATAAAATGTAGGAGAGGGTAGGCTCAAACAATGAAATATTTCTACGGAATAGATGTAGAAGAGTGAATTCATATGTTAAATAATTAGGATGAAAAAATACTACCCTGAGTGTTATGAACAATAGGAGTTAATACTGTCCTCGTACCCCCCCCCCCCCAGGGAAGTTCTGCCAGTAATCCCATCTCGACCAAATGAATTCTTTGTAAATACAAAACAAAATCAAGTTATTCTGAAATGGTCGATGACATTGTTTTGTCATTTTCATGTTATGCATGTACTTTGTTGTCATTTTTTAACATTTTACTACTTAATTTGACAATATAGTTTTTAGACAATATAGAATTTAGATCTCTTCACGTTGTAGTTTTTAAATATTTGTAAGCACTGCTTGACTTGATATAGTGCAGTGCTAATCTTACCCACGTATTGAATCCAGAACAAAATGGATTAAAGGGCGGTGGCCATCGCGCGACGCATGTCCCATATCATATAGGAAGCGGTAC